CATAGCATCCTTTTAAAAAGCAGACATTGAAGTTGCTGGGTGCTGTTTTACTATAGAATGGCAAAAATGGCTCTTGAAGAAGCATTTCTTTCCACTCAGAAAGTGAGAAATAATAGCTGCTATTTATAAAAGACCTACTTTGTGTTGACTACTCCACATATACACTCTCTCATTACCCTTCATGAATGTGCTGGAAAGTCATGGCTGTTATCATTTTTTTTTGTTTTTTCATTATTTTTTAAATTTTATTTTTATATTCCCCATACAATTGCAACCCCCTTATTTTGACCCCAATCCCTTCTTTCCCTGCCCCCACCCCACAGTGTGTCTCCTGTCCATAGTTTGTTGATTTTGATTTTTTCTTTCTTATATTCTTTTTCCTGGTCCCTTATTTAGGTTTTCTAGATTCCTGCTATGAGTGAGACCATCCGGTATTTTTCTTTTTCTTTCTAGCTTATTTCGATGAGCATGATCCCTTCCTGCTCCATCCATGTTGCTGCAAATTGCATGTGTTTATCTTTTTTGAATGCTGAGTAATATTCCACGGTGTATATGTACCACATCTTCTTGATGCAGTCATCTATTTTTGGGCATTTGGGTTGTTTCCAAAAAAACCCAACTCAAAATGGATTAAAGAACTAGACAGAAGACCTGAAACCATAAAATACAAAGAAGGAAATATAGGCGAAACGCTACATGACATGCACCTCAAAGGCATCTTTACAGACACATCACCCAAAGCAGTGATAGTGAAGGAAAAGATAAACTGCTGGGACTACAACAAATTAAAGAGCTTCTGCACAGCAAAAGAGACAATAACCAAAACAAAGAGAAACCCCACCAACTGGCAGAAAATTTTTGCACCCAACACTAATGATAAAGGACTGTTCACAAAAATCTACAAAGAGCTGATGAGACTCAACAACAACAAAGAAAATAATCCAGTCAAAAAATGGGCAGAAGAGCTAAAAAGAAACTTCTCTCAAGAGGTAATACAAATGGCCAACAGGCATATGAAAAAATGTTATCATCATTTTGCAGATGAAGAAACTGAGGCTCAGCCTGTCTCCATCATCGTTCAGGGTCAAAACAATAAGAGGCAGACCTAGAATTGTGATCTCAGGCTGATGCCCAAACCCACATTATTCTCATTTTTTTGTGTGTATGGGAGGTGAAGGATCCCATTCTAGACACTCCGGGGCCGCTGGCTCCTCTGTTCCTCTGTCTACAGCTGTTCATCCTGGTCTCTAGTGCGCCTTTGTCTGCCCCAGAGTCTCGCCCTGTGGCTACCTCTGATCCAGCAGCCCTGCATGCTCAGCTCTGATCATGTGATAAATCCCCCAGGACAGCAAGGACAGGATTGTACCAAGGGCCCCCTGGTCATCCAGCTACCACGTTTTGTCCATATCAAGACATCGATGCCTCTGCATGTGCACAGAACTGCAACTCTACAGAAGACAAGTTGGTATTTGAATCCTGGCTTCCCCACAACCTAGTCAAGGGTGCCTGGCACCTCCATGCTGAGAACAGCACTGGGTGAGAAAGAAGGGTAGGGCTAGGGGGTATGTGATTCTGAGTGCAAAACCTTGCCACATCTTGGATGTGAGATACAGACAAGTCCTCAAATCTCAGTGTCAATATTTAGGTAAACCCAAAAACAGCACTATCTTGCGGGACTTGTTGTCAGTGTTAGATGAGTCTGGTGCATCAGTAACTGGTAATTCTTTTTAACTTCCACCCTCTTCCAGGCTGCACTGGATTGAACAGCAAAGTTGCAGCAGAGTAGTAGGAGATGAATAAAACAGGGTGAATCCTGAGCCTCATCTTCATCCCTGCCTCAAAAGTCTAGGGCAGGGGTTGGCAAACAATGGTCTTCAGGGCAAATATGGTCCATTGTCTGCTTTTATAAAATAAAAGTGTCTTGGAATATATTCATGGTCACTCATTTACATATTGTTATGGCTGTTTCCACCTTGTAACTTCAGGGCCCACAATACTTACTACTGGCTCCTTTCAGAAAAAGTTTCTTGTTTTTATATAATTTAATTAAGATTTGATATAAATCTTCATATATAAAGACAAACACAGGAATTCTCTGGTCTTGTCAGAAGCGATATAAATGTATTTTCTATTTGTTTTAATATAAAAATGCAATTGGATAAAATGAGCTCTTTCTGTGGTAGCTCCCAAAACACAAGCTTGTGGATTCCTGTCTTGTGTGGGACCTTTCCCTGGTGAAGAGGCTTCGAAGCATGCTTGCTTTTAAAATAAAGTCCTCTGTTCCTCTACCAACAACGCCTTTCATCATCTTGCTGTGGTCCATTTTTTCTACTTCGTTTCTCGGTCATTACACAACATTTATACTACATAGACTTCTTATAATTGTTTATTTTGCATTTCCCCCACTAACCACCCCCCCATAGGCAGGGATTTTTATTTGTTGTGCTAATTGTTAGGTCTCAGAGCCTTGCCAGTGCTTGATGCATAAATGAGAACCCCACAAATATTTGCAAAATGAATAAATGTGGATTTCACTGAAGTGATGGTTCAGTCAAAGTGTGCTGGAGGCTTTTATGTTCATGGAAGATTTGAGAACTTTTAGTGGGATGAGGTGGCCTCCCCATCTCTGTGAGAAGGGTGTATTTTTCCTACTTTAGAGATGAGACATCAGACTTTGGGTGACACGTGTCACCCAGGCTCTTGTTACAGTGCAGTTTCTGAGTCAGGTCTGAGCTGGGGCTTCTGGGGCTGCAGTCATAGCTGGTGGTGCATGAACCAACTTGGAATAGCACCCACTCAGGGTCTACCTCAAACTTGGCGAAAAGGAGTTAGACATCTGGAGATCATATGGGTCATTTCCTTTGAGTTCCCTTTTCTCCATTTCCCTGCATCTCTCACTAAGACATTTCGCTGCTCCCCACTGGGCTGCTCCCTATACTCCAGATCTGTCTCCAGATCTTCCCTTCACATCCACCCCATACCAGCATCTCCCGCCTTCCCCTTTCTGACTCATGTTCCTCTTCTTTCCCTCCATCTGTACCCAGGACATCCTGACTCTTCAAGTGATCCATCTTACTTTCCTCTTCTGTTTAGGCCACACTGGTCAAGAAGAAGTGCTTTTCCTCATGGACCTCAATGGGTGGCTTCCCCTCCAAACTCTACCCTATGACCCACACAAATGACTCCTCATAGCAGAGCACGACAGGTCATGCCCATACCCACCCACCCCCACTTTCATCTCTCTGAAGACCCACTACTATCAGCTCACTGCTGCCATGACCTTTTCTTCTCAGCTCTTGGTGTGATCCTCCTACCTCTCTGGTTGTTTGGCCAGTTTTCTCGTTCTCTGAGTTCCTAACTATGGTCAGTTCCTGAGCTGTCATTGAGTTTACACTGCAGAATCTGTGGCTTAGGATTGGCACCAGTTGAGAGGGCTTTGTTCATCATGGTACCTTGAAGTACAAATACTTCAATCTGTTACCTACACCCTCATACCATTCGTCATTGATTTCACCACGTGTCTGGCACAGTGCACTGTGCAGAGCGGCTCTGTACACTGGCTAACAGAGTGGGGAGGTGCATAGAGGTTGTGATGGGTCACTGTATGCCCATCTCTACGTGGAACACTGGTGCCATAAAAACCCCTGGAAGCCCAAAGACCTCCCCAGGGCCACTGCCCAACCCCCTTATGGTTTCTTAAAGGGGGAACAAAGAAAACATTTTGCAAGGCCAATGATGTGCCAGGCACTTTATACTATCATCTACTTCCCTCTCCAAGGTAGCTCTATGAGTTAGGTACTATTACCCCTATTTTAGCGCCAAGAGAAACAAGTCTCAAATTGTTCAGAAAAAATGGCTCAAGACTGCATACTGGTGAGTGATAGATATGGACTTGACCTCAGAGCTGTGTGATTCTGAAACCTCATTCTCTTTCACGAGGGCAACAAGATCCCATGTTGCCTTGTATCTCCATTACCTGCTCCCGTCTGAGCCTGTGGACCTCTGGGTCCACGCACTGGGCACAGATGTGGGGTGGAGAGCCTTTGCTGGCTCTGTTCTGGTCTGTGAGGCTTCAGCAGGTAATAATGACAGACATTGCCTTTCTCACAAGGCTCCAAGGGGTGGAGGAAGACATGGATTGACAGACAATATATTTGACTAAAGTCAGACATTCTGAGTTTTCATTCTACTATTTTGCTACCCAGATGTATGATTTCACATGCCTCAGTTTTCAAATGTGAAAACACATCTTAGGAATATGAGACTAATTCAGTATTGTTTAACTGCTTATTGCCAAGGGTATATTTCTAAAGTTTTTCTCTTTACTCTCCTGTTTTGTAAATGTCTGATTTAATGATGAAAAAAATCACATTAGAGTATAAAAAAATAAAAGAGACAATCAGCCATCTATAACCCCCAACACACTGATAGCTTGAGATAACTAATGCTAAACACCAAACAGATAATTCCACTTCAAAGCAAAGACCTTGGACATTTCAATTCCATGAAGCTGGTACTAGATATAGCCTTGATTCCCTGTAGACTTCCTGAAATGTGGGAGCTGCCAATAGATTTTTCCCCCTCACCTTTCAGCCCCTAGGGCAACCCATCCTCCTAGTAGACACAACTGGACCTACGAGTTGCTGACATGCTGATCCATATTTAGGTTTGCAAGTCCTGCAGGAGGACTGGTTGACCTCTTGATGGAATTTGGGGATTCCTAACTAGAAAAACACAATGACAAAGGGGAGAACACCCTTTCAAATCTCCAAAAATGGGGTGGGGAGGAGGAATCCAAGATGGCAGAAACAAAAAACATGAATGATGATAGTGCATTTTCAAACGGAAAGTATCTATGCAAACATAAAACTTTAGATCACGGGCAGACTTAGACAGAAGTGACTATGAGAAACCAACAGACACTTGGTTGGTGCAGGAAATGCATGCTACAGGTTCCCTTACTGGGCATGAAGCAAAGTTAAGACTGGGTCGATACTTACAAGTAATAGGAGTAGGAATAAGCATTTCTTCTATATATTGATGGGCAGTCAGATGAAGGAAATGTCCAAAAAGGGGGGAAAAGAAAAGACAAACAAACAAGAATTAGATTTATATGAAATCTTGATTCTTAGAAATGCACATAGTACTTCAGCACCCCTAAGCTAGGGGAGATGCAAGTTTCTCTGCTAATCATCTTTACTGAGAATCAGATATTTTCAGCAGTGGAAGAAATGGGAGCTACCCCTCCATGATAGAAAAACTCCCTATTCCTACAGAAGAAGTCAAGTCTCACTTTGGCTGGTTTAATGATTTGAAAGATTTTTTTATGGTCAACTAAAACTGGCTTCCTGCAATTATGACTTTTTGGTCTTGGGTCAGATTTCTGTGGATTTTGAGAAATAGTCTACTACTCTTTCACATGATCTAAGGAAAACCATAATGGCTCTGATCTTTTCTGTTTGTGGTCCAATCATGTCAGAATTTCTTTATTATGGTCATGCTAAAAGCAAGGAAACCCAAGTTGGGTCCCCAATGATCCCTATTTCCCAGGACTCACATTCTTGTATGGTGTCCTCCTATACTAAATCAAGGATCATTCCAAATGGCTAACAGAATGTGAAAGAGTTACAGCTGGGATTTTCAAGAATATATCAAAAAGCAGCCTTGCAGCTCTCTCTGGGTTTCTAGAACTCTCCCGTCGAACCCTGAGTTTCTATGCAAGTATACTGAGATCACCATGCTGGAGACACTACATAGAGACCACACGGTGAGGCCTTAAGATTGCAGGAAGAAAAAGAGACGTCCAATCAGGCCCCAGTCTTCCCAGCCCCAGCCAATAGTATTGTACAAAATGAGACCCTTGCTATCAGGGAACAGAATAAGTCATTCCTTTCAAGCCTGGACTAAAGTGCAGATTCATGAGAAAAATGAGTCACTAGATTTTATGGCTTATTTTTAAGCTACTAAATTTTAGGGAATAGTTTGTTATAGAGAAGTGGGAAACCAGAACAAAATTCAAACTTCACCATGAAAGAGGAAGACATGAAGGGAGAGGCATTCTAATCTTCAAACTTAACATAATATAACTTGAATAAACTCTCTGTATTCATTTCCTCATCTGTTTCTTATAGTAGTTGAATCTGAGCAGTACTTTTCAAATGACTAACAAATTAATAAAATAAACAAAACTAGTGTTCTCAGAGCCTGGGGATTCTGCAGAACAGCCTCATTATAATAATAAAGAAGTGGGATCTGAGTGAGTAGGGTTTTGGGTGTCCTACTATCCATAAAAGTCAGAGTCTCTCCATTATTATCTATTTTGTAAATTGGAATTTCATTTAAGATTCTGAATGCCTAAGAATTCTACTTTCCAAAAGAAAACTTGAAAATTACTACCTGAATTCTCTTTCTGATGTCTCTTCTAGCTCTTGGCTTCTGAACAATCAAATGACCCAAATAAGTCCATGATTTTTCTTTGTTACGACTTTTCTTAATATATAGGAAAATAGACAGGAATGCTTTCATTTTACAGACTTAGAGACCTGACAATAACTGATACATTTGTGGTTTGAGAAAAACTGCTGAATAATTCAGGTCCCCAAATATCTATAGGAGTAGGCAAGAATAGTTTCCCTCCCTCTTGAGTTACTTGGTTAATTGCAAACATTATCTAGCTTGGTTGGCACTAGGAGATGGAGTCTTGATGTGCACAGTATGGGAACATGTCCTCAGAGTCCCAAGTTTCCTCCTTGACTAGGAACTAGCCAAGGAAGGGCCATCTCTAGACTTTCATTTATCAGAAGAGCCTAATCTATAGCTCCAGAAGGAAAGCAACTCTGAGAGATAAGAAGCCACAGTAGAAGTAAAGCTTCATGCTTCCTTGGGGAACTGAGCTGAGGAAAATGAGCCTCAGTACAGCAAGATCTGGCTGCTTATAAAACTTCAACATTTTGAACCAAATGCCCAAGATGTTGAAAGAAGGTGAAGAACTCAGAATTGTGATGGGCAGGAAGAATCCATGCAAGTTGTAAAAACTTTTACTGACCATCTAGGTTGGTGCTGTGAGGGATAATCGCTCTTCTGCACTGCTGCCTCTATGGTTCAGTACCTGGAAATGTGATTTCCCAGGGGCAGAAACCTGAGAATCCAGACACCTATATTCTACATCAGCAGTGGACTGGGAACCAAGAAGCAAGTGTTCTCATCCCAGTTCTTTTGCATGTCACTGTGACTTCTTGATTCCTTCTCCTGAAATTGGCATGGATGACTGCCAGCTTCATTGGCTTTCAAGAGTGGAAGTATGATAAATCTTTGAATCCTAGAACCACCACTTGTTAACTGTGGTCTTTAGCAAGTCATTAAAAATTCCTGAGTTTCAGTTTCTCTTTCTCAATATTGGGGAAAATAATGATCTATTCCCAAGAATGTTAGGTGGGTGAATGGATGGATGGATGATGGATGGATGGATGGATGTATGCACTAATCAGTGGATGCTACTGTAGGAGTAATATTACATTGTACTAATATGAATTACATTGAAATTACATATATGTACAATGCATACAGTCGTTTAAGTTAATTATATTCACCTCAGTTAACACTAGATTATAATAAACACCTGCAATATGATAGGACTCAGTGAAGAATTTATGTTCCCACCTCATTCACAGATACAAGACTTTCTGCTCTTCACTCTGTAGGAATTTAAAAATTGTAATAAAATAAGAATTTATGTAGTGCTTACTATGTGTCAGGGATTTTCTTGGTTCTTATCATACATTAATTCACACATTCATCAAACCACCCAAATAGATAGGTATTAATGTCATCCCCACTTTGCAGATGAGAAAACTGAGATAAAAGGGTTAAGTAACTTGCCTGAGATCTCAGAGACAGCAAAAGGATTGGATAGCAACATGGTTCTAAAGTTCATGTTCTTAACCACTAGCCTGTGCTGCCTTTGAGGAAAGAAGAACACAGAAGTGTCTCGAGCAGTGCAGTGAGGCAGGCATGTCAAATGTTCTCTCTCTTAGTTGTCCCTACAACCTCATGGAACAAGAACTATTGTTGCCATTTTAGCTGAGGTTCCAATAGGTCACTCTTCAGTAAGTCTAAGGTTTCGTGTTGTTCAGGTCTCCATCCTGAGCCAAGATTTTCTCAGAGTCAGCAGAACAGACTGCATTCTTGGGGCCCCGGATGCACTCCATGTTCTAGAACCTCTGACTTTTCTGTGCTCCACCTTCAGGATTCACCTCTTTTTCTGGGCCACTTCCTCATGACTACATGTCCCTTAATCTTCAAACCACCTCTTCCAAGTAGCTTTTCTGAGTTATCCTGAATGTCACCAAAAGCCAGTACTAGCCTTGCCTCAACTTTAAGCAACTCCAGAATGATGGTTACTGATAAGCTTTGTTAATTGAGTATCTTTTCCCAATTAATTTCTAAAGTCTTCCAAGGCAAGGATTACAGTTCTTTACTCCATGATCCAAACACAGTATACATGTGCGTTTTCTCTAAGGTTTCAAGAAGATTTACTGAAGGTCTAAATTTACAAGGATATAGCAATATTGCAAGTAACAGATTGCCTGAGACCAAAAATCCTGAGCAGGAAGACAGCTGTGCTCAGAAAAAAAATAAAATAAATATAAAAAAACCCAAACTTAATAAATCACATACTGCAGAATCTTTTACCTTCGGAAAAGATTGACTTTAGGCACAGCCTCCTTTGTTTCATTTAAACAGATCTAAGTTATCTATTTAACCATCCATTTGATGAGCTAGTCATCCATCTAGTTTATAAATCCATCTGTCCATCTATTCATCCATCTATCCATCTATCAGTCCATCTGTCTGTCCATTCATCCAACTTTCCATCTATCCACCCACTCATCCTCCACTCAATTAGTCCATCTTTCCACCTAGACATCTATAAACCCACCTAACCATCCATTCACTCATCTACACATTCATCCAATAATCCAGCCATCATCCATTCAATCATATTTCCATTATTACTTTAGCAAAAACTTCATGAGGGCCTATTATACCTGTCTATGCCAAATGCCAAAGATAGGCAAATGAAATCCTGAAGCAGTCCACATGATAATGATTGCTGCATAATAAACAGTAGGAAGTCACTTACATGCCAGTAGATTGCTAAATACTGTTCTATGTATATTATTTAGACTATTTTATTTAATTAGCATTATGAGGATTATCCATGTTTTACAACTGAGGAAAGTAAGAGAAGGTACGTAACTTGCCAAAGTTTATATAGTTGGTAAATGGCAGTCTGACTTTAAAGGCCTGCATTAATAATCACTATGTTACACTGTCTTCTGGAGTAATAAATGGTATGATAAGGCAATGCAGGGAGCTGTGGGACCACATCTAAAGGGTGGGGAGGTGCAACAGGGGAGGTGTGTATTTTCTATGACATGAGTTGTAAAGGCACAGAGCAACCAGATGGAGTAAGGGGAAAGGTAATGACTGGCAAATGGAACTGTGTTCATGGAATGGATGGGTGGGTTGACAGGATGGAAATGTCAAAGTTGTGGCAGAGCCTGGTTTCCAAAGAACTTAAGGAAATTGGTCTCAGTCCCATAGGTCATTACAAGAAGCCAGAGAGCCAAGTGGCCAATTAGTATTTCTAGATTGATGATTCTGACAGGAATGTGAGAAAAAAAGTCAAAGAGGGAGAAGGATTAGGATTTTGAAAGCTACTACAAGGGTCAAAACAAGAGCTATTGGGGCTCTACTTTGCAATGATCATGGGCATGGAGAAGAGGAGGCAAATGTGAGAAGTGATTAAGCCCTAAAATGAGCAGGTGATTAAATATAAGCACAACGAGGAGGACTTCCCACTTTTTGGATTAAATAGTAAACAGAAGGAGGGCTCACTTTTCAGGGTGTGGGGTGAAGGAGCAATTTAGAATGATATTTGGGCTGCTTTCCTGCCCCAAAGAACCACTCCAAATTTGCCACACAGGTCAGCATCTCAGCGAGTCCTGTTTTATATTTCAGCCAAGTTAGATGGTGTTTAAGACTGTGGATGCCATTCTCAGATTGCCCAAGTTTGAGGTCTAGTTTTGCCACTTACTGCTATATGATTTGGGGCAATTTTCTCAATCTCTACTTGTTTCAGTTCTCTGGTCTATCACATAACATAATGGAATAGTGGCACTGTCTCTTTTGGCTCATCCTGTAGTTAGCGTTTCCTATCACCTCACAATTTTTTCCTGGATAGAAAGTATGTTTCCTGAAGCTTAACCCATGGTCCATACATCTTTCGCAAACTTCCTGCCTTTTCCCTCCACCCCCAAGGCTGGCTGTACTCCTGTGCTCAATGTTGATATTTGGGGCTGTGTTCTGAGTGAAGCTTTGCTGCTCAGGAGATGCAATGTTGATCCTGGCCTCCATCTGTTCTAATTTCGCTGGCTCCTCCATTTTCCATTCAACATGTTTTTAGGGAATCCCCAGTTATTTCAAAGCACATTTGTCATAGGATGAATCAGAAAAGGCAGCTGATAGTCCAGTGGAGAAGATAAGAGGTGAATACAAATGACACATGAAAGGCAGACCATAACATTGAGAGATGCTCATAGAAAGGATCCAGATGGTGAAGAGATTGTGCCTAGACTGGAGATCAGGAAGGGTTTATTGGAGAAGATGGATTGTGAATTAGATCTTAAATATAGATAATGTCTAGTCCTCTGGAACTGAGGAACACGGGCATTGGATGAGGAGGAAACATCCGAAGCAAAGGTATAGGAGTGGGGTGAGACCTCAGGAAACATGCAGAATCACTGTAGGTGGGGGACCATGGATTGAAAAAGCTATGATTAGAACCTAGACATGTGCTTCTTCCCTTGTTCTGACCCCATGAACCATTGTTAAAGGTGAAAAGGAGACTGATAGAAAATAAATGAATCCTGGTCTAGGCAATAGGCAACCCAGCTTCTGGTATTTTCCATTATTCTCTGCCTTTTACTATTACTGTGCTATTACTGTGAACAAATGTCTGGACATTTCTCTTCAGCTACAAGTTTCCTACCATCCTCTGATCTTCAGCATCAAGCCCTTGAATATAGGAAACATATCTGGGAGTACAAGTTTAATTTTTGAAATACTGCTCTGACTACAGTATGGAGGGTAGGTAAGGGGTTGGATCAGAGTCAGGGGACCCATAAAATAAAGCCATCAAGATGAGGGCAGAGATGGTGGAGAGTAAGAGAAGAGGGCATGACTAACAGACTGTAAACATGCAGGTTCCAAAGTGTTGGGCTGATGGATTCCCATCTGTTTGGCTAAGAGGATAAGAAGGGGTGTCATTAAGATGGGGACACATGGCTGGGAAATGGCTGGAGGGTAAGCAATGATTTTGGCTTTGATAATGAAAACCCTGAAGGATTTTCAAGGTAGATGTCCAGAGGCAGATAACACAGGGCAGTGTAGTTCTGGTGAGAAAAAGGGTAATTCTGGTGAGAAAAAGCAAAAGCAGAAGAACCTTCTCTCCCAGGTCATTTCCATTTTGAGTTGGCAAAACCACCAGGTAGTGTAATAAATACACAACTGAAGGACTGTGTGTGCAGGTGTATGTCGCTGGATGTTTCTGGGGTGGGTGGCTTGTGGGATGACTTGATGGATGAGGTAACACTTGGAAGACCTATATTCAGGGGCTTGGTGATGAAGATCGGAGAGTGATAGGAAACTTGTAGCTAAAGAGAAATGTCCAGACATTTGTTCATGGTAATAGCATGCACAAAGGCAGAGAATAATGGAAAACGATACCAGAAGCTGGAGTGCTTATTGCCTAGACCAGGATTCATTTATTTTCTATCAGTTTCCAAGGACTGATAGATTAGAAGGGAACAACATGGGGTCTGGAATCATAGAACCTTGGTTTGCTTTTCAGCGATGCCTAAGACCTTGGCCAACTCATATATATTTTCGAACCTCAGTTTTCTTTTCTAAAAAAACAGGAGTACCAACAGTCTCTTCTATGACTGATTATTCATAGGATTGAAATCAGAATATGGCAGCAGTTTAAATGGAGAATGAACAAACTCATTAGGCCAGTGCCTTTAGCATCTTAACAGAATAGTGAAGATGGTAATAGCAACCATAGCAATAGCATTACTGATAGCAATGCCAACAGGTAACATGGTAATAGCAGATGGCGTATTAGCAATGGCTGGCATGGTACAGTCAATGGTCATGTGCAAGATGAATGTCCCTGTTGATCTTGTGCATTGTGATCCTTTGGTAGGTACAGGGAACAAAGCTTGACCCAAGAATTATCCCATGTGAGCATCAGAACAGCCACATGACTTTGCTGCGTCTCACAGGTGGGAAGGCAAAGTCTGCATTGGGATGACTTGCCTGTTATTCAGGGCTTTCTTCTCCTTTAAAACTTGTTCCTTTTAGGAAACTATGGACAGCATTCTGGACAGCAGTAAGTGACAGACTCAATTAACCGATGAGGTTTCCCCTATATTTGTTTATGGGGCCAGGTCTGAAGAGGTGAAGGCTTCCACCCAGCCTTTCACTGTACTTTGGGGGCATCTTGAGACACAAGAAAACTGTAAGCTAATGGAAAGAATGTAGGTCCATGTTTAATCTCGCTCTTCTCCCATACTCATCTGTAAATCACTACTATCAACTAGGTCAGCAGAATGTCTCATTTTCTCAATAAGATGCCACACATGTAAACCCTGATCAGTACGCTGCACTCCTGCCCCAGCCCCTGCAAGCACATCTGAGTTTTGCCTCTTGGGAAGAAATGGTGATCATGTGATGTCTGCTGGTTGGGTCTATGGACAATTTTGATAGAGTTGAGAGCTGATGAAGACATGCAGGAGAGGTTAAAAGCATACAAAGTACTCGCTTTATGCTTGTTCCCACCCTGGAAAAAAAAAAACCCTTTCTTCCCTCCACAAAAGTCACACATTTCAGAAATAGCTGTTGAGAAGGAAGTGAAATTTTCTTCACAAGCTTACAGACGATGGTGACGTGGGTTAAGCCAGGCTTTAGAAAGAGCAAAATTGGAAGAGCGTATCTGACTTACAAATCAGTGGCAAAGAATGAGAACATTTCAGGTCTATCAAAGAAGAAAGCAAATCTATTAAATTGGTTACTTTGTCCAGGTAGACAATCCCAAACTCACCTATGCTTCCAATGTGCCTACGACTTTCAGAAACACATCAATGATCTTATGTGAGTAATGTGCTTACTGCCTCCTGGTAAATTACATATTGTGTTTGACTTCATCTAATAGCAAGTCACTGGGACACACAATATGGCCACGTTTTATGGATGATGATGATGATGATGATGATGATAATGTAGTACTGATATTAACCCGTTGGGGGCTCTTGACCCCCAATATTTACATAATATCGTCCCCTCCCTCTACTCTCTCCAACACTGAATGAGTAGATTGCTAAGAACCTTAACTCTAGGTCATTCTGCTAGCGGCCTAAGGAAAGGAGTGATTCTCTAAGGCTAATGATGTCAAGAAAGGACAAGGTCCTACTCATCAGATGCCTGGTCAGAGGGTGGACTGCCTGATTCAGGACAGAACACAGAGACACAGGAACATTCTGGGGCCAAGCTAGCAGGGAGAAGACTAACTGCATGTATAATGGGGACCCCAGGATTTTTGTCCTACTGATGACTGGAAATAGGGGACACTGTCTTTTTTTTAACTTCCTACATTTATATCCACGTGACTCCTTAGGCAGAAGCTGATATTTGTCTTTGGGACATTCTGTCCCTCTGTTCTGGTGGGGAGCAGGCTTCATGAGCACTTTCTGTCCTAATCATGGGAGCAAGTCCTCATAACTGAGGTACCCTGAGCTCTGTGATACCCAAACCAAGAGCTTCAGGATGAGATGTTAGGTAGTTCATCCAACATAAACATCACTGAACTGGGGCAGGGCACCTTGCAGTACACATAATTATAATGCACTGAAGTGTTTTGTTTGCTCTGGAGGAATGGGGGAGTGGGAAGGCGGAGACCAAAGTTGGGATCCGGGCATAGTGATGGAGAAGATGTGGAGGTAGCTGTGAGTATGGACACATGGTTCCAGATCAGGGGCCAAGGATAGCTGGGCAGGAGGATGCCCTGGAAGAGTAGGCAGTGCTCTTAAGGGACACTAGTAGCTGGTATTCATCAGCTTTTCAGGATGAACACTTTCCCTCTGCCATTCTCTTGTGTTGTCCCCAGGCCTTGTGAATGTCTCATAAACAGAAGATGGCAGTGTGGTGATAAGGGAGAATCTCACCACAATGGGGATGAGAGGAATCTATCCAGCTTTCATGAGCAATATAGGCTAGAGCAAACACGCAAGATGTGATATAGCTGTCAGCTGATCAGAGGTGTCCAGGTAGACAGACTTTTGAGAGATGACAAATGGCAACAATCTAGTTGGAAATGTTTAGTGGGAAGTAGGCTACGCAGGAGCCTTCCCTGGAGACTCTTACACTGTTAAAGGCTTTATCCCTGTTCTGCAAAGGGCAGCCTGGGATGCTGCAGCTTGCCCAAAGGGAGATCAGGGATGAATGGAGGTAAGGCAGGTGAGGCATTACTTTCCTACATCTGAATTTCCAGATTCATCTGTGTTCCTGGGGGTCCCCAGTTATCTTAATGATGACCAATTACGACAGAGCAGTGGATGCTGAGAAGACTCATGTCATAGTCATTACATGAAATCCATGGTACACCAAGGTGGCCCCGCCATAGGAGTCACTGGCCCCATCTCAGGGTCACTCACTAAGCAGGCACACACACCTTCAGACACCAACTCAATGAGCCACCATTGGCTCAAGTACTTGAGGCCTCAGCAATCATATTGGAAGGTTCCTGCTCGGAAGTGATAGACAGAGCAAGATCCTAGACACGGGCAATGATGGGGCCACTTGGGGTCAGCAGAGTCTGTAGGGAAGCAAAGGAGACTCACCTCCTCTTGATGGTGAGCATCACACCGAGGAGAATGATGATGAACATGAGGAGGCCCGCGATCACACCGGCCATCTTCACAGTGTTGTCCACCTGCTTTTCTGGTTCTACTGTGTTAGAGTTCTGAGTAGAGGCTCCTAGGAAAAGGGAAAGAGAAAGGTGTTGAAAAGTCCTACATACGAGGCTAGATAATAATTTTAATGACAACCACTTCCATTTATTGTGCACTAACTATATGCCAGACATTGTGCTAAGACGTTAGATACCTTGTCCTCTTCATCCTTTGAGGTTTATACCTTGTGAGGTTGAAGTTATTTTATTGTGTTTTGCAGATGAAGAAATTGAGATGCAGAGAAATCTAAGTGTCCAAATTATACATACTGGGATGGGACATTGTCCTTCAGTGAGTCACCGGGGTGTACTTTGTCTCTATGATCCAACCAGGGAATTACAGTTCCAGCTCTTGGATTCACATAAATTTTTCTAAATTCTACTTTATTATTTCAAGTAATTAGTGAAAAGAGCAGCTTTATATTATGATAGCACAAGTAAAAGCACTGGATTTTTAAAAATCAACACATGAAATTTTGCTAAGTGACTTATAGGAAACAAATGGTTGGCAGAAATTTAGTATAGTAAAGGCAAATGTCCAGGTCAAAAGACACTTGTCACTGACTAATTCCATTTCTGGAATTTGGTACTGATGGCTCATGTTCTGCTCAGTATTAACTCACTGACTCCATTCCCGATGGAGTAAGGCAGAGGACATATAACATCCTCTGCTCCGTGCTGGACCACTTCATGGGTCCATCTTGGTCAGTCCTCATAAATGTTCCAAAAATCAGACACTGTTCTTTCCATTTTATAGATGAGAAACCGAGAAAACTTGCTCAGTCACAAAGCTTCTGAGAAAGGTCAGGGGCATGATTCTAAGGTTCTCTGACTGTAAATCTAGTCTCAACAGTCACAAACTTTGACTAGTCCCACCATGCCCCTCTCCCAGAGCTAATGCCACAGCAGGAATAGCAACAGAATGCCCAGCTTGGCCCCTTCCAACAGGATGCCAGGGAGCAGAGGCAATTGCCCTTGTGGGCATGTACATGATCACTTCTGGAGGGTGTTCCAACACCCTAAGTAAATTTCTTCCCACTGCTTTTCATATTCCCATTGATGCTGTGTTGTGAGAGGTGGCTTAAATCTAAAGAATCATCTTCCTGACCCACCCTGACTTTTTGCTATATCAGCACCTGCCCATCCTTCCTCAGAGACTGCATCCTCTTTTGTTGACTTTGCCTCTGGGAGAGCTCCGTGCTCTCTTCTCTAAATTCTGATAATGCTCTGCAACACTTTGCACATCCCCCTGTGTTCCAGTATTATTAGTTATTTCTTTCCCCATCTGTCTCCTCCAGTGGTCTGCAAGGTCCTCAGGGGCAACATTACGCCTCTTTTATCTTTGTTTCCTCAAGTTAGTGCAGAGCCTGGCTCGTAATAGGTGTTCCCTTAATGTTTGTGGTTGTTCAATGTTTAGCTGAAGGAATGACATCTCTGCCCACACACATTTGTTCTCATGGAACTAAATTGAGTTTCTCCTTTTTTCAGCCATGTGTTCACAGAACTCAGCTGAGTTGAAGGAAGGCTAATGCCCATAAGCTATGGTTCTGATTCCCCAAGCTCACCGATGTTTGTGATGTTTAAGAACAGCCCTCCAGCACAATGATGCATCTCCTCTTCTTGCTTAAAAGCATCAACTGTTTCCTTTGCCAGAGCACTTGCCCCAGTCTCTCTTGTAACTTAGCTAAGCTGGGTTTACTTGAGTCAAGTCTCCCTAGAGAACACAGAGAGTCTTCCAGAACAGCATGCACATACTATTCATCTCTCTAATGTCAGCTTCTAGCATTGGCCTCCCTCATAATTGTTGGTTAACAGATGATTATTAAATGACATAGAGGCTAGTGAACCACAGTTGCTTGCTTCATTTATTCATCAATCATTCATTAATTTGCTCCTGATTTCCCATGTACTGTGTGCTAAACTATGCCTACTATGGGGTCAGAGGCCTCCTCCTGGAAGGACTTATGGATGGAGGATTTTATTTAGTTCCCTTCATCAGCTAAAGGCAAGACCAGTCCATCAAATCCTGGGACTGAGTATGGTCTGCTGATCTTTAGCCTAGCAGTTCCTTAGGGAGTTAGTCAACCGCCTGCTTGGCAGCTCTGGTTTCACATAGCACAGTGCTGAATAGCTGGGTCTCATTCTGAGTAGCCTCCTTTCCCCTTTCCCAGTTTGGAGACATGGTTTCTGAGAGATTTCTAGTCCAGGTGTACCAAGATTCCTCTCAATACAGCCAGAGGCTGTTTTTTGTTTTGGATTTGGAGGGAGAGCTAGCTCTGGAATATTCACTCACTGGTATCGCTAAAGTTTACTTAGTGCTGCTACAAGATCCATTCTAGAGATTGGGGGTGCAAAGATAAAGGGGCCCTGCAGAGGCTCCTATTATCCTAGGAGTGCGCTTCACATTTTATCCTTTCAATAAATACTCATAAGCACCCACAATACAACAATACAGACATTTGGTAATGCAGTGGAAAGCAAACAGATTCAGTTTTGCTCTCAACAAACCTACAACTGGTGGTGGGTGGGGCTCAGGGGATAGGTTTAATAAACCAAGAATCAATAATAGTAAGTTGTCAACTCTGTTAAGGATTGGGACGAGAGGCACATGACATGTGGAAAGTACCTAGTATGGAGATGAATCACTTCTGAGAGGAAGTAAAGTGGCTGGTGGGTGAGCGCCAAGGGACAACAGCAATTACTAGGCGAAGGGAGCAGGAGGGGAGCACATAGGAGCAGTAGAGGAGCCAGCACTGACGAAGGCTGCGTGAGGAGCCTGGTGCATTCAAGAATTGAAGGAAATACAGTGTCACGAGGATGAGAAAGCAGGGAGAGTATGGGGAGAGAAGCTGGAGAGGGCAGCCGGTCTCGGCTGACACTGAGTCACAGTGAGAGTTTCTGTTGTATCCCCCATAAACACAGAGAGCCATTTAGGGGTTGTCCACAGAGCAATGATTTGGTCAGATCTGTATTTGCAACAGGTCATTCCAGATTCATTGTGAAGGCAGGTGGCTTGGAGAGAAGAGTTTTGATAAAGGATAGTTGCTCAAGTGACGGCAGTGGCGCTATAACAATAAAAAAGGTATCTCTCTCTCTATCTATGTATCTATCTACCTATCTAGTCTGTTGATGGATTAGCTATGGGGAATAAAGGAGAGAGAACTGTTGAGGATGACCCATCTTTGGTTCTTATAACAAGGTGAATGATGGTGTTGTTTATGAGTTCAGGAAACAGAACAGATTTAGAGGGAAACTAAAACAGGGATGTTTGGGATAATTTGAGCTTGATAAATCCTCTAGAATAGTAGACAGTTTAAAATTCAGATCTGGAGCTCCAAAAAGAGGTCTGAGTAAGTGACCCATGGAGAGAATAAAGAGTGAATTCAGTAGCAGGCTTAGATGGAGACTTGAGAGTCTGCAATGTTTAGTGAATGGGCAGAGGAAGACAAACTGCAGGGGAGACAGAGAACAAGTGGCCAGACAGGTGAGAAAAAAGCCAGAAGAGTGACCAGGGACCAAGAGAAGTTTGATAAAGGAAGGAGTAATCAGCTGTGTCAAATGCTGCTCCTAGTGTAGAATCAAGCTCCAAACCCAAAGCAAAATGAAGATCTTGTATGAGCATTAGAGATTCATTCCCAGGTATATTCCAAGGTTGTGACCATCAACCATATTAGGACATCCTTGAGGGTTGCAGAGGAATATCCAGGGGCTTCAGGGACACTGTCTGGAAGGCCAGAGGCCAGTGGTTTGGATAAACCAATGAGTTCAGTCAACAGGTATCTGAGCTGAAATCACAGACTATATGGAAGTTATTAGGAGGAGTCACGCTTGGCTGGTACAGCTGGTTTTCAGACACAGGAATGTGGGCTGCTCCGCAACATGGCAAGTCCTACTCTTATTTCAGACCCTTTAAAGGGCACCTGTTCTAGCTACTAGGGCTGTGTGTGAAGGGAGTGTGCTGAGAATGTTTAAAGGTGATACAGGGCTCTGGGACCAAAGGCCAAACAGCATTCACATGTGGCTTGTACATCTGAGAGCAGGGAAGGTGGGAGAGACAGAGGTGGGTTAGTCCTTATGAACAGTCAGAAGTGTGTTCTGGGGCTACATTAAAAGAGCTCAATGGAGCAGATCAGACTGTGATAAGATTTATAGGGGAGCATATCAGGGGTGGCGAATGATGGGGCCTTCTGGCAAAGTGATCATCTGTCTCAGGCAAACATGGAGCACCTCATCAAACAGAAGCTTAATTACTAGTACTTTTCAAAAACAGCTTAAATGTACTGACTGAAGACTGAGTGCTGAGCAATGTGCTAAGTACTTTTCTTACATTATGTAATTTAGTCTCCACAAAACTCAACACAGAAGGTGTTCACTTTATTTTCCCTCTTCGGCAGATTAGGGAATGTCGCAAAAGGGTCAAGTGACCTGTTCAAGGTCACATAACTAGTGAATTTTAGAGCTGGGATTCTGTGTGTAGTGAACAATGATGGAGTTGTTGTTAAAGTAATGGTTCCATAGAGAAGGTTGACCATCTGACTCACTGGCTGGAAATCCAAGGGATCTTTTCAGAGACATAGAACAGGAATTCTTTCCTGTTGGATTACTTTTGCCATAACCTCACGCTTTTCACAACAGTCAAACTATCAATCCCCAATCCCTTCAAAAAGGTTTCCGGACCAAGGTGATTTTTGTCTATTCAGCCGGGACCAGGATTCTGAGAACTGGGAGAAGGGGGAGGGACTTGGATGTACCCTCTTCATCTCTGCCCTCTGCTGGAAGCCAACCTGAGACTAGTCCAAGTAAATCAGATCTGGCAACTAGGCACTAGGTGGTAGATTTATCCAACTGGACAGCTTTCAGGCTCTGTTGGAGTCCCCTGTGTGATGTAGTCATCCAAAACAATCTTGTGAACTCAGTCTGCATGGACAGGAGGCTACTGTCTCCAACATGAATCTGCATGCCCAACCCTCTACCCCGACCAGCTGTGCCCTGAGTGCTCTGAGCACTCCCAAAGGCTGAGCCCGTC